ACAAACACACACACACACACACACACACACACACGTTTGTTGCATGTTTTTGTCATTTTTATTAGTTTTTGTTTTAAATATGTCTATTTTTATTTATTAATTTAAGTTATTTTAGTACATAAAGTTGAGAGATGTCACCTTGGCAACTAGCATTTTATTTCAATTAATGTTTATTTTATTTCAAATACTTAATGTTTTTATTGTCATATCAGCATCTATGGCTGTTTTCATAGCAAGATCAATGTATTTTAAAATAAACAAACAGTAGTAATGAAAAACAGCCACTGACGACCCACTCACATCATTACTGATGATCTTTCATTTCAATATTTGATAAACAATTTACGATTATTCCTGATGAAACGTTTCTGAAAACATTCACTGAGATCTTTCTGAGCCTAGTGGCATTTAAAGCAACTAAACATGCTTTATAAACAGAGGAATCTGACAAAAATGACACGTATGTGAGACTCTGCAGCACAAAAGCAGGCTTAAGTCGCTGGGGTATATTTGTAGCAATAGCCAACAATACATTGTATGGGTCAAAATTATACATTTTTCTTTTATGCCAAAAATCATTAGGATATTAAGTAAAGATCATGTTCCATGAAGATATTTAGTAAATTTCCTACCGTAAATATATCAAAACTTAATTTTTGATTAGTAATATGCATTGCTAAGAACTTCATTTGGACAACTTTAAAGATGATTTTCTCAATATTTAGATTTTTTTGCACCCTCAGATTCCAGATTTTCAAATAGTTGTATCTCGGCCAAATATTGTCCTATCCTAACAAACCATACATCAATGGAAAGATAGTTTATTCAGCTTTCAGATAATGTATAAATCTCAATTTCGAAAAATTGACCCTTATGACAGGTTTTGTGCTCCAGGGTCACATATGTTGTTAGTTAGAGTGAGCGGTGTGTAAGCGGGTGTGGATGCAGGCACTCACAGTAGGGCAGCGTGGGGTGTGACGTCATCCGCCTCACGTTGTTGATGTTGCGTTTGATGAGCTGCGAGAACACAGAAGAGCGTGACTGAGTGTTAGCGTGTCCGGAGCGGGACAGATTGAGTGTTGCTAGCGCTGCTCACTACGGCGGCTCCTCGGCCCGTCTGCAGGCCCCCCAGCCAGGGCATGTTGATGGGTGTCCCGGGGCTGCTGTGGGTGTAGGGTGTGCTGCCGTGAAGCACGCTGAAGTCGTCCCGAGCGTGAACCACCAGGAAGTCATCCGTCCTGCCAAACAACACAAGCACATCACATGATCACACACACTTCCTCTCAGGAACTCCAGCTGACAGTAAATGTGAGTGTTTACTCGAGAACAACACTGCAGCATGATGTTGGGAACCAAACAGCTGCCGGTAGCCATCGACTTCCACTTAAGTGTTAATTTCGTTAAAAGTATGACGAAAACTAAGACGGCTGACAAAATTAACACTACTTCCAGTGTTTTTTCATACTATGGAAGTCGATGGCTACCGCCAACTGTATACATTCTTCAAAATATCTTCTATTGTGTTCAGCAGAAGAAAGAAACTCATACAGGTTTAAAACGACATGAAGGTGAGTAAATTAGGACATTTTTGGCAGAACTGTCCCTTTAAGAGTGAGTTCTACGACGTTGCATTGCAGTTTTTAGCTGGAAAATGACTCTTTGTTATTGTCCTTGTGCATTACTGACAAACTATTTTCCTGTTTGACTCTGTGAAGCTGCTTTGACACAATCAGTATTGTATAACGCGCTATAGAAATAAAGCTGACTTGACTTGCTAAGGCAGGATGACTGTACTCGAATGCGGAGCTCACCCTTTGACCTCGGCCTCGTTCTCATCATCGACCCAGGTCAGGATCTGCGAGGCGAGGATGTAGGACACATCCAGCTCCTGGATGTCGTGGCTGGAGGCGATCACTAAACAGTTGCGATTGGCCTGGAAGACAGAGAGAGGCTGCTTACATGCGGCGCGTCACAGATCACACGCAAGCACAGCCGCAGCACGTCACAGCACCTTATTGATGGCGAACGCCGTGATGATGTCAGACTCCTTATGGATGATGCGAGCCTTTCCTCCAGGAAACCCCAGGTCGGCCTCGATCTGCACAAACACTCACCACTTATCATCTTTATTATTCAGACATTTATCCTGACTAGGGATGCAATGATGCACCAGTTGAAAATCGATAAGTGAGGATTGATGTGGGTTGAGATGTTAAAGGAAAGGCGATACAGTCGGGGTTTATATGAATGTGTCTCTGAGGAGAACTGACTGTCTGCAGGAAAGGTTAGATGGTGTTTTCGTCTCATCTGGTCTCTGTAATGCATATTAATGCAGTGTTTATAAGCGCAGCTGCTGTGTTTACAGCGGTAACCAAGGAAACGCTGTATCTGCTGCTGCATGAGCGCCTCCTGCTGTCAGAGAGTGAAACTGCGTCTCATTCAGAGCTTCTGCTGTTTCGGTCTCGCTCAGATATGATTTATGTAGAATAGTTTCATAAAGCTAAAGTCTAATCATTCTGTTTTGCTTCAAATTTCTAACTTATTCAATCTAATTTAAATCAGAATCTGCTCATGTATGCAGCATCTTTGTTTGGATCATGATTAAAATGCAGTGGTTTCCTCTACTTTTAAATGAAGAGAGTACATTACATTAAGAGATTTATTTTTATTTGTATTATTTATTCATTTGATTTGGGATTTGTTTTAAAATTCTAGTTTAGTTAGTTGACATACACTCCCGTTCAAAAGTTTGGGATCAGTAAGATTTGTAATGTTTTTAAAGAAGTCTCTTCTGCTCATCAAGGCTGCATTTATTTGATAAAAAATACAGAAAAAACTGGAATATTGTGAAAAAGTATTACCATTTAAAATAACAGTGTTCTATTTTAATATACTTTAAACTGTAATTTATTCCTGTGATCAAAGCTGTATTTTCAGCATCATTACTCCAGTCTTCAGTGTCACATGATCTTCAGAAATCATTCTAATATGCTGATGTATTTTTTGTTGTGCTGCTTAAAATTTTTTTTGGAACCTGTGATACTTTTTCAGGATTATTTGATGAATAAAAAGTTAAAAAGAACAGCATTTATTCAAAATAGAAATATTTTCTAACAATATAAGTCTTTACTGTCACTTTTTATAATTTTAACACATCTTCGCTTAATAAAAGCATTCATTTCTTTCAAATAAATAAAAAGAAAAAAATCTGCTGACCCCAAACTTTTGAACTGTAGTGTATATTGTTACAAAAGATTTCTATTTTGAATAAATGCTGCTCTTTTTAACTTTATTCATCAAATAATCCTGAAAAAAGCATCACAGTTTCCACTAAAATATTGTGCAGCACAACTGTTCTCAACATTGATAATAATCAGAAATGTTTCTCGAGCAGCATATTATTATGATTTCTGAAGATCATGTGACACTGAAGACTGGAGTAATGATGCTGAAAATACAGCTGCGCATCACAGAAATAAATTACAGTTTAACACATATTCACACAGAAAACAGCTGTTTTACATTCTAATAATATTTCACATTTTTACTGCTTTTGCTGTATTTTTATGCAGCCTTGATGAACAGAAGAGGCTTCTTTAAAAAACATTACAAGTCTTACAGACCCCAAACTTTTGAACAGCAGTGTATTTCAATTTCACAAAGAAACGTGCAGCATTTTGTCTGAGATATAAAAAAGGACACCTTTTCCTTTTATAATTTGCCTTCAATTTTGTTAAAAATCGTGAGAATATCATATTGTGAATCAGTATGGCGTCGTGAGTTGAGTGAATCGTTACGTCCCTGATGCTGACTCTTTAAAAGGCCTCTCAGTGCTTGAGGAGAATAAACGTCATTCACTAATGCTCAGTGTGCATGCTTTACATCAACAAGCAGAGGTGAATCAGAGCAGGAATATAAATTACAGTCAGCTGTGATTTCATGTTGATTTGCAGGTAATCGTGCATCTTAAAGAGCCTCACGGCTGGACGATGATGATGAAGATGAAGGAGCAGAAGCTCTGTTAGATACCTGGTTGTGTGTGGAGTCCAGCGGCACACCATCAGTCTCCTGATTCAAACATGCAGGTCAATCACAGGCCACGATTAGACGGTTAATTACAAACATCTTCAATTAACACAAGTGCAACACCATATTAATGACTCGACAGAGCGGGGTGGCTGTTAAAACACAATCAGAAGGCGTGCAAACGAGCAGCTGATGATAAACAGACACAAGTACCTCGTTCGGATCGCGTTTCTTGGTGAAGATGTTGCGTATGAACATCTCCTGAACCTCCTCCTGTTTGACCAGATACTGCCACAGCCGTCTGACGGGAAGAGCGGAGCGCCGGCGAGACCTGAGAGCGGAATCACACTCGTCACAAAACTAGTGACAGTTCAGGAGGCACTTACTGAAAATAGAGGTTATTTCATAATCAATTAATTAAGCAAATGTACACATTTAAATTGTACATAAGACAGTTTTTGTGTCACTATTTTAATTATGAATTATGTTTCTAGTCCATTTTGTTGTTGAAATTAGGGTAATTTCAGCGTAAAATTTGGTTTTGGGAAAAAAAAGGTCATTGAAGAAAAGCCATTTAATGAGCATATCTCGTTAGTCAGCTAGAAGAGGAAAAAAACTAGATAGCAGCATTTTTATAAATGACTAAATATTGCTAAATATAATGTAGAAACTTTAATTTTCTGTAAAGCTGCATTGCAACGATTTGCATCGTGTAGTATATATTTATTTAATGCCATGTCAGCATCAAAGGCTATTTTCATGTCAAAAACAATTAAAAACAAATACAATAAAAACCAGCAAACAAACAAACACAAGTTATATCACACAAACTTTTTACATTAACGTGATAAAAATTCTAAAACATTACCTGGCAAAATTTTACATCGTGAAAAGCGCTATACAAATAACTTGAATTGAATTTAATAAATAAAAGCACTGTATTACATATTCATTATACTTTTAATTAACCTGCTAGTGATGTCTTCATTATTTAATGCATGTTTGAATAAATCTCTCTTGAAAAGAAATTATTACAGTCATTGTTTAAAAGTTTATAGTTCACCAACAAACGAGTAGAAACATAATTCACATAAAAACTGACTTTCGTGCAATTTTTTTTTTTTTTTAATAAATCTGAATAAGTAACTGATTATTAAATAACATTTATTTTATTTTCCAAAAATTAAAATTTAGTTGCTTAGGTAAAATTAATAAAAAAATAGTATTAATACAATTATACAAAAAATATTCTTAAATAAGTTTTTGAAAAAAAAAAAGTTTTGGGTGCATCCTGAATTTTCAGTTTTGTTCCAGAATTTTCAATTCGGCGCATCACTAGTCGAAATATAAACAGCAGCTGTAATAAAAGCTTGTTTTGGTGCCGTAACTAGTAGTAGAAAGAGCTTCTGTCAGCACACATTAAAGAGCCACAAAAACACATTTATTGATTACATTTCCTGATAATATCAACCGAATTTGAAAGCTGAGGCTTTGTTTCAAATCAAAAGTAACAAACAGTGTTGGGGAAGCTACTCTGAAACTGTATTGCACTGCTTCAATGCATTATAGGCTCGTGACTCGTCAGAACGCAAAACAGAATGTAGCGTTTGGTCGCGCTACACAGCTACTCGCTGGAAAAAGTAGTTAGCGACAGGAAAAGCTACACTGTTTTAAAAGTAGCGTCGCTACTTGTAGCTAGCTACTCCCCAACACTGGTAACAAATCACAAAGATTACTGTGATTACTGGACGTTCAGTGAAGCACAGATGAAAGAATTCTGTGCTTCTGATTACCATGTTTAAAAAAATAAAAAATTCTAGATTAAAAATGAGAAATCAAAACGCACCATTGGAGAAACACCAATTAAAGTCACTGTTTCAGTCGATGATTTCAGCCCTACAAAACCAAAACCTGCTGTTTCAGCCGAGTGCTTTGGGTTGCATAAGTGCGTGTGATGAGTCTGCCGCACCTGAAGGGTGTGTTGGAGGGCTCGAACAGTGCTTTGTGCCTCAGCAGAGCCGGACCCGACGACACGCTCTCCTCCAGCAGCTGCGTGCAGATGAACCTCGACGGAGGACCTCCGGAAATCTCCAGCCTCTTGAGAAGCAGCTGCTCCCAGCGCTGGAGCGTCTTGAGAGCGGCGTGACAGAGCGGCGAGCACACGGGCAGATCTGACACACACACACACACACACACACACGTTTACACACACACACATCATACGTGTGCTGCAGCCGTAACGGCTCGTTACCTAAGAGGTCGTGACCCGCCATCGGGTAGAAGGTCTTGAGGTTGAACAGAACCATCTGCACCATGGCCAAGCGCATCAGACACCAGCTGCAGGGAACATCACCATCACACATCATCATCATCATCACAGCACAGGTGCAGCTCATCACGCGGCTCACGGCTCACCTGTACGAGCTATTGCTGGAATGCTCTGCCAGCGGAGAGCTGGGATCTCCTTCGTCATCATCCTCCTCGTCCTCACTGCCCTGGCTCTCCTCAGAGTCGTACTCCACTCGGCTGGCAGACGGAGGCAGGTATGGCTTCACGCAGGACACACACATGAGTTCACAAACACAACAGTATCAAACTACTGCGAGCTGAAGAATTAAAGAAAACCTTTGCGATTAAATAATCCCAGATGCTGAGCTCAGGCGGCACGAAACGCTCTTTACAGACGGATGTGTCCGGCTCCATCACCACGGGTCTGGGACTGTCGGGAACGTCTCTGGAGTTACTGCGTGATGAGCTCAGCCGGGAACGCCGCTGCTTCCGCTCCACATCTTCCACTAACACACAAATAAACAGCAGATAATAGTGAGCAAGATGCCATAAATTCACTCAAACACAACAGAACGCTTTAATAGCTCTGGAGCTGAACACGGCACAATCACTGTTTAGATTCATTTGTTTCAGGGCTTCCCCAGACAAGGGTTTTTGAACTGAGAAGAAGCTAATAATTAATAAAAATGTCAAATTAAAATAAAAAAATATTAGATTTAAAAAAAGAAACAAACAAAAAAATCATTAACTAAAAAATGTAATAAATCATTAAAATGTAAAATAATAAGTAAATAATTTTAAAATAAAAACAAATCTAAATGTAACACTTGCTAAAAATGAATTAAATAATAAAAATGCTAAATAATAATTAATTTTAAAATAAAAAAATCCAAATAAAACACTTATTAAAAATGAATTAAATCACAAAAATGCGAAATTTAAAAACATAATTTTAAAATAAAACATACAAATAAAACACTTATTAAAAATGAATTAAATCACAAAAATGTGAAATTGAAATACACAATTTTGAAATAAAAAAATAAAAATAAAACACTTATTAAAAATGAATTAAATCATAAAATTGCAACATTAAAGGGTCATGAAACCCCAGACTACTTTTTCTGAGATTTTAGCAGAGGTGTTTGTGTTGCACATCATAGAAGACAATGTTAGCATCCGATAATTTTAACTGTTGGAGAAAACTGGTTAATTTTAAGCTTTTTTGCGCTATTTTCATCTTCCGGGTTTAAAATCTACATCATGTTGACGTCACAATTTGTGACGCGGCAAAGGACTAATAGTACATCGATGACGCGTCGGTGTCTATTGAATTATTCATGAGACTGTGTGTTCTTATCCTATGAGAAGACGCTTCGCTTAATTATTCACAACAGCATGTGTTGATTTGCTGTGACAGACGCTTCAGAGTCTGTGAGATGACATCGCGCACAATAACTGAGAGAAACGTTCATAAGGTTCAAAGGTTAACAACCACTGCTGTCAGATTGTGTTGCTGATTTCAAATAATACCGAGATACTGTGACACAATCCTGACCAAGAATTTTGGAGATTCTGCAGCTGTACTTATTCAAGATATTTCCCTTTGACCTCATGAAGGCTTGTGAGGTGAGACTCATTACACTAGATGCTGAATCCATCTTGTTCTGGCACAAATAAAGCCGTGATTAATTAGGAGAGATGACAGATGAACAGCAGCATGAGGAGAGCAGAACCTGTGTGTGCGCTGGGCTTCTCCGGCACAGGAACACGAGCGCCACCGCCGAACACAGACACCCACAGCCTGCTGTTGAGCGGGTGAGCGACGATGCAGAAGAGCTCGTGGCTGGAGTGAGTGGCCAGACCGTGGACGAAGAGGCTGAGGAAGACGGCGGTCAGGATCTCACACAGGAGCACAGGCAGACCGGGCTGGTTCTCGTCTCCGGACGCGCTCAGCAGCCGCATCAGGACGCTCACACCTGCACAGACACACAGGTGAGTCTGGAGTCTGAGGATGAGCTCAGGGGTCAGAGGTCAGAGGTCACGGTGCTTTACCAGGCCACTGCGCAGGAGAGGTGTTGGGCAGGATGGCCTCCTCGATGCTGACGCTCCTCACCGGGGGCTGATGGGTAAGCAGGACGCTCTGGTAGGTGATGCCCGTGAACGGATTCACATGGCTGAGGAAAAACATGCATATTAGAATTAGGTCTATGTTCATTTGGTGCGATTAATTATGGAAAAAACATTTAACGCAGACCTGTCCGTCTTCTTACATTGATGCAGGACTGACTGCGTCATGAAGCCTATTAGAATGCACTGATCAGCCTAAAATCAATCTCTTATATTTATATCATATGATATAGTTTAGCAATATCACACCAGCAAGAGAGCTGTGTGCACTATCAAAATGTGATAGTGATTTATACAATAGTTCAGTAAACAAGAAGTTCATATTGTGTTTTAGACTCAATATTGTCTGTTTCTGTTCAGTTTCACAAATGAATAGAGTTCCAATCAGAGCCACAGCAGACCTGTTGAGCGTCTCCGGTGATTCCTTACTGAATGAATCCATGGGTTTGAACGAATCGAATGAGTCAATGACTCCGTAAAACTTGCTTCGTATCTGAATGAATCAGCGTTTGAACGAATCGAATGAGTCAATCACTCCGTGAAACTTGCTTCGTATCTGAATGAATCAGCGTTTGAACGAATCGAATGAGTCAATGACTCAGTGAAACTTGCTTCGTATCTGAATGAATCAGCGTTTAAACAAATCGAATGAGTCAATGACTCCGTGAAACTTGCTTCATATCTGAATGAATCAGTGTTTGAACGAATCGAATGAGTCAATGACTCCGTGAAACTTGCTTCATATCTGAATGAATCAGTGTTTGAACGAATTGAATGAGTCAATGACTCCGTGAAACTTGCTTCATATCTGAATGAATCAGTGTTTGAACGAATTGAATGAGTCAATGACTCCGTGAAACTTGCTTCATATCTGAATGAATCAGTGTTTGAACGAATTGAATGAGTCAATGACTCCGTGAAACTTGCTTCGTATCTGAATGAATCAGCGTTTGAATGAATCGAATGAGTCAATGACTCAGTGAAACTTGCATCGTATCTGAATGAATCAGCATTTGAACACATCGAACGAGTCAATGACTCAGTGAAACTTGCTTTGTATCTGAATGAATCAGCGTTTGAACGAATCGGTTGAATGATTGACTGAATGACTCACTCATCGCTGCCACCTACTGGAGATTTTACTTTCATATTTAGAGTATTATTCCATTTAAAAAAATAATAATTTCATATTTAAATAGTTATTTAAAATAAAACACAGTAATACCTGTTTAATATCATATTTAAATTTGTAAGCCAAGAGGAGACTGGTTTTCCTTTGCTAAAGTAAGGAAACTTTGCTTCCTTTGCTCCTGTAAACTATGTCGGTTCTCGCGAGACTAGCATATTCTCACCGGAGCTTATGCTACATCCTACGTCATCATCCGGAATGAACACGCGTACGACAGTTAGCGGAAGCAAGAGATTAGATTACGGTTTATAAAGTTTTAGATATGGATATTTTTCTTACACAAACGCATCGATTCGCTTCAGGAGGCCTTTATTCACCCCCCGGAGCCGTGTGAGACACTTTTACTGATGGATGGATGCACTTTATTGGACTTCTTTTGGACTATTGACAAATAACACCCATTCACTGCCATTATAAATCTTGGAAGAGCCAGGACATTTTTTAATATAACTCTGATTGGATTCATCTGAAAGAAGAAAGTCATGCACACCTAGGATAGCTTGAGGGTGAGTAAATCATGGGGTAATTTTCATTTTTGGGCGCAATATCCCTTTAATCATCCAGGCTTCTGTTCTAACACGTTTGGGCTGATAAACACATTTAATCTGCCGTGACGGAGTATGAATGTGCAAAAGGACCCACACAAAGGCCACATTCATCTGAGCAGAATCTGCTGTCTCTAGAAAAGCCACGCATCACATTCATGAGTCATCCGCTCATTATCAGACCGAACGATTACAAGATCAGCAAATGAAGAGAAACGTTCTGTAACAAAGAATCAAATCAGTGATGAGGGCAGAGGTCACGGGGTCATCGTGAGGCTGACAGACACACTCACCTGTAGCTGTGTCCATCACAGAGACACTGATAGATGCAGGCGGAGAGGGAAGCGGCTAGCGTGTGCATCACATAGATCTGAGACAGAAGGAAGACGCGTTAGAGGACGAATCACGACAGTAACGACACCTCGTTCTGATGAGCCACGCTTCACCTCGTTGCTGACGACATCCGGGTGCGGAGGCGCGTCCAGAGCGTTGATGGTGTGCAGTATGTCATGCGTGAGGTTGGTCAGGTGCACTATGGGATTGGCCACCACTGTTTTGGAGCTGGCGGTCCACGCCAGGAAAAGAGGAACAGACAGGTGCTGCGGATCGGGAGTGGAGATCTGCAGACTGTCGTCCTGATGAGAAACACAATGATGATTCACACAGGCAAATGAAATAATGCACAGCGCCAGACATCAGCTCAACAGCTGCAGCCAGGAGACAGAAACAACAGAAAATGAGCATGTGCTGGTATAGGCAGTGTGTGTGTGTGTGTGTGTGTGTGTGTGTGTGTGTGTGTGTGTGTGTGAGAGAGAGAGAGAGAGAGAGTGTGTTTGAAGCCTCAGAGCATCAGGAACTGAGCAAACCCTGAACTCGGCACTCAAAACCAGATCAGAAACGTTCACATAAAACATCACAATGGGTATATTTACATGACAGTGATGCACTACAAAACAGACAATCAGGGCTGCCCAGTAATAGTCGACAAGAAGAGGCTTAGTCGATCAATTTTATTAGTCGCAGGGGGAAAAAAATCCACAGGGAGTGGCGAAGTCACGTAGTCCATGACGGACAGATCATTAACAGCTGGTCTGTGTGGTAATTAATACATCGGGCAGGACATGCAAACGTTCATTTCGTTGATCGACCTCAAATGTGGCTTATCAAGTGAAACATGCAAGTTTAACGTTAACCTAGAAAAACGTGCGCTGTTCAAGTGTGGAAGCTGAATAGTAGCAAGCTCACTCGGTGCGATCATTTGCATTAACTTAAAATAATCCATCTTTCGAATCTGTAAAAGGTCTACTTTTATTTGTGTGCACTCGCAAAAACAACAGAACGTTGTGCTTTTGTAAAATAATGAGAGCAAACAGGGTGGGCTTTCTGCCGTCTCGGTGTCTGTGAACTTAAGCGAACCGAAACTCTGTGCTTGCCTCACAGACATGAAAAACACATCTATAGAAAGCGAAATATCTTCTTTTTTAATGAACCAATTCAAATGGAAAACAAATATTTTCAGATTATGTAATCGTATGAAACGTGCACGTCCACTGTGGAGATGAGTCAGTGTCGTCGACTTCATCACTGCCGCCGAAAATACAGAAAACACTAGTTTATCAATTAATAATTAGAATGTTAAGGCGGCCTTGCTGTTTTTTCCCTGACGCCTTTCTTCTGCGGTGTGCTGTTGGAAGTTTTATGCGTGCGCTTGAGCGCTGATAGGCTATAGGCAATTAAAGGCTCATTATTACGAATTACATGGTTTATTAATATAAATGCACGATTAGTCGACTAATCGCTTAAAATGAACAACTATTGGTCGACTAGAAAAATCTTTGGTCGAGGGCAGCCCTACAGAAAAGTATTCCTTTTGCATTTTTGGAAAGTTTCAAGTCCACAAATACAACTAAAAGCGGTGTATTATGCATGCCAGGCCAGCAGCTGCCAACATCACTTTGTAAAAGAAACTTGTGCATGCCTAAAGACTGAACATGTTATATATGCATTAGTGGTCGACTGATATTGGTTTTTTGACAGCCGATGCCGATATTTTGGAAAGCAGGGTGGCCGATATAAAGCCGATATAATTGTATTTATTTTAATTAATATTTAAGAAATTTGAAATCATTTGAAAATGGATTAAAAAATACATTTGTAAAATAAACATACTTATACTTTAGATGACAAAGTATTTTCCACAAATAAATAAATATTTAATAAAAATATAATTAAAAAGGAAGTAAACTGTAACCAACAGAGCATTCTGGGAAGTTTGTGTGCATTGGGAATCATACATTTTTTTAAATAAAGCCAAGGTAACACTAATTTTACATACAGCACACACTGAAAATGACATGAAATGCATAAAGCGCAGCATAATTTGAAATCACGAATTTAATGTTTAAAGCATTCAATTTGCACGGACCGAAAGTCACGCAGAGAACACGCGATCATGCAGGTCACATGCACACTTCACAAGATCTCACAACTGGATTCGACTAAGTTTGCAAGGTTTGTGAAATTAAATTTTCATTAGCCATTCAAAGATTTGTATAAATTATGTAAATTCGTATTTGCTGAATGCTGATGGCAAACGAGAAAGTATTATAATGTTTGCCTTTCTATTACTAATAATATAAAAGCAATCATTATAATACTTTTTGTATACATTTTAATTCCTTTGTTTAACAGTTCTATCGGATTATTAGACAGACTTCTATCTGTATTAGACAGAACTGTTAACGACGATGGCAAACAAGAGGGAGAATGTGAGCACTGTGTGCTCAGGCGCTGCCGCTCTCAGTGCCATCAAAATAAAAGTCAGTTGTGCCATCAAAATAAAAGTGTTGCCTCGAACGCATCGACCAAACAGAAAAACTTATCGGCCGATGCCGATATTTGAAAAATGCCAAATATCGGCCGATATATCGGCCTTGGCGATATATCGGTCGATCACTAATATGCATGCACACAATGTCACCCTTTTCACAAATTTGCATTTTTATAGTTTACACACACAGACGATAACAGTATTATTTTCAAAAACTTTCACTTGAAACCCCCCTTTCAAAAATGTGTGTTTTTAGGCCCCCAAAACGCCACGGCCAAAATGCATAAAACGTTTTCAGTCAATGCCCCCTTAGTTTTGGCCAATTTTAACTAATTTCATGACCGGATGATAACAGGTGAACACATTCTGTTAAAGCTGAGTGTTAAGCCCAAAGTATACTTCAGTTCTGACTAGTGTTGTTTTTGGCGGCCTGTTTTAATTTTAGTTTTAGTCTAGTCTTTGTGTGAAGCTGTCATTTTAGTTTTTATTAGTTTTAGTCACGTTCATACTCTTTTTAGTCTAGTCAAGTTTTAGTCAACTAAAAAAGTCCGAGCATTTTAGTCTTATTTTAGTCAGAATTATCCACGACTATTTTCGTCTAGTTTTAGTCGACGAAAACAGATGACATTTTAGTCTAGTTTTAGTCGACGAAAACTGATGACATTTAGTCTAGTTTTAGTCAATGAAAGTTGACGACGATATTTAGTCATAATTTTCGTTGACGAAAGCAACACTAGTTCTGACGTGAATGCTTACAGCCAAACGCACAGGTTCTCTAATTACACTCTAATATAATGTTACACATCAGATGTTTTTCCCCAAACGTTCACTTAAGACATAACAGATTATGTGTGTGTGAATAATTAAATACTGTAATTCTGTGTATAATGTATCGGGATCGCGTGCTATCGGATGACAGTCAGCGTGAGAAGCGAGCGGAGAAAAGGTACTCCTCTCAGAAAACGTACAAATTAAGGTAATTAAACATCTATAATTATTATTTGGAGCATTGTGATCACTAGACGAGGGCTTAATGAACTAATTTTTGTGAAAACCTCAAAATCGTCATTTTTCACTTTTTTTTTTGCCTGTAGCTCAAAATTAGCCCGTGCGCATTCCCACTCATTTTGCCAGCACGGGTCACATATGATTGTGACGATATATTCTGTACATGTTTTATGCAGCTCATGGTATTTTCATAACAATAAAGCATGTTTATGACAAATGATAAGCTGGTGTATATTTTAAAACTGTAAGCATTATAGATAGTTTGTGTTTCTGGTGTAGAACCAAACCTTTATTTATCTTAATTTAATGCTGTATATTGAGCAGCGGACGATGTTTAATCCATATACGAGATACATAACTGAGGAAAAATGCATTGTTGGCCAGCGCCACCTAGCGTGCAGGCGTGAATTAGCAGAAGGCGATCAATCGTTTCACGCTTGGTGTGAAAGCACCGTTCGTCGGCGATTCGCCTCGCTTTTTCGCATCACGCTCAGTGTGAAAATGCCTTTACACCGTGTCCTAACTACACACGACAAGGTTCCAGCGACAAGCAATTTGTGTGTCGACACCAGACGCGACGCGACAGAATCAATCAAATATCACAGCCAATCAGAAGCGTGTGTGGGCGGAGCCTCTCTGGAAGCGCACAGCACTCGCAACGAAATAGATACGTTTATAATCTAATTCATAAACATTAAAGCTTTTTAACATCATTAAATGTACATACTGCGTGACTGATACCGTCTTTGTTATGGAATACACTCATTGGTTCGCAGTGAGTTCACAGTTTTAACGGACATCTTTGCTTTATTTCCAAGATCTGAGGTAAACTATACCTCTATTGTTGCTTTCAGTTTGGCTATAAGGTCACACAAAATTATATTTAAACTCATATTAGTTTAACTTTGAATAAAGCACATAATCACCTGAGATTATCTACTGCACTATAGTTTGTATGTTGTTGTTCCAGCCGCGATGTCGCGGAAATAGAAACTGTTGCTAAATGTGACCCTGCAGCACAAAAGCAGTGTTAAGTCGCTGGGGTATATTTGTAGCAATAGCCAACAATACATTGTATGGGTCAAAATTATACATTTTTCTTTTATGCCAAAAATCATTAGGATATTAAGTAAAGATCATGTTCCATGAAGATATTTAGTAAATTTCCTACCGTAAATATATCAAAACTTAATTTTTGATTAGTAATATGCATTGCTAAGAACTTCATTTGGACAACTTTAAAGATGATTTTCTCAATATTTAGATTTTTTTGCACCCTCAGATTCCAGATTTTCAAATAGTTGTATCTCAGCCAAATATTGTCCTAAAAAATTGACCCTTATGACTGGTTTTGTGGTCCAGGGTCACAATTTAGAAATTTCGCGTGTCGCTGTCGTGGCTAGTTAGGACAAAAACTCAGATCAACATGGAAAAGATACCTTCTATCGCGCGTCGCGGAGCGTGTAGTTAGGACACAGTGTTAGGCTTTAGTATTCAAACAGAAGAGCGGTCTCTACACCTGATATTAAGATCTGACGCCTAACTCGAGCGTGTTACCTGCTGGGACTCCTGCAGCAGCAGAATGAGCTCCATCCTGACGGAGGCCAGTCCTCCTCCGTGAGAGCCGTGTAGGCTGCAGTAGCTCAGGAAGATGCGCAGCAGCGGCTGGTTCCTCTTCAGCCACAGTCTGCGCCGGTGCTGCAGCTCTCGGGCCTGCTCCGCCGCGCCCCGCTCCTCCAGATCCTCCACCTGGCTCAGGTCGGCCGAGATGCCCTCGGGCAGGTGCTGGAGGAAGGGGTTGTACCCGCAGCATCTCTGCAGCGCCGCCACAGCTCGCTCCAGCCAGTGACACAGCTGATGCCGCAGCTTCCCTCCGTCCAGCTCGTATCCCGTGGACAGCGTCCGCAGCTCCGTGGTGAGGATCTTCAGACAGGAGCTGAACTTCAGCTGCGCGGCGAGGATGTCCTCGGTCATTGTGGGCGAATCGTCTGACCCGTGACCCCTGGGGGTGGATGTCGCTTCCGGAGCGCCGTCGTCTTTCTCCGGATGGATGCTCTTCATTGCCAGGCCTGATTCTTCCTCGTCCGGGTCGTCTTTATCGCTGTCCCACTTGAACTCCAGAGGCTCGTCCTGCAGGGTGACAGACGGCTGGCTCCAGTCTAAACTGAGCACCGAGTCCGACTGGCTGTCCTCTCTGGGAGACAAGAGCGAAGACACCGACTCCAAGCCGTTGAGAACCGGCCACGGAGCCGAGGCTTGGTCTTTGTGCTCGCTCGACGTCTCAGGCGAATTCTCTCGTGCCTGTGAGCGCTTCACGACTTTGGGCATTTTGGAGAGCACCTCTAAAGCCAGCATGGGGCAGCCGGCCTGTAAGTGTGCATAAGCGGCGGTGAAGAAGAGCCTCCTCTCTGTGAGGCTGATGGAGTCGACGGTGCGGCCTTCAGCGGTCAGACCCACTTTAGCTTTATCACAGGAGCCGAAGTGACGGCGCAGCAGCAGCGGGTGCGTGCGGAGGTAGGTGTAGAAGTTAAAAACATCAGGACTACTGGGAGACGATCCGGCGCTTCCTGAAAGACACCGATTCACATGAGGCACAAAAAACAAAAATCTCTACCACTGAGTTGGGGTCTGAAAGACACTTAATATTCAGTAATATTATTGATTTAGCTGCGCAGACACTATCAGATGAGAACAAAACTAGAAGTGAATTGATCTGAATAATGACTCTATTGTCTTCTGTAGAGCTGCTTTACAGCTGATACTGAAACCGTTTTATAATTGATTAATTTTACAACATTGACACTGTTATTGAACCAAATCTGAATCAACATTGAACTGATTTGATCTGAATTGATCTAAATAATGACACTATTGTCTTCTGTACAGCTGAAATTGAAATGTTTTCATAATTAAAGAATTTTAAAGAATTTTTTGATTCTGTTATTTTGATCACTGTACTCAAATCCACATAAATCAAACCCCGATCAGTGCCTTGGTGCATAAGTTCGGAAAACCGCTTTCACACAGAATGCAATGCAATGCAAGATAACGGGTCGTTTTCAGGAAAAATAACCAGCCGGCTGCAGAGAGAGAGGCAGAAATCATGACCATGAATAAAACAAAATGTATCGAGCAGCCCTACGAGTTTCCTTAATCGATTCTGTTATTTTCCTGTTTATCACTGTAAAGCTGCTTTGACACAATCTGTATTGTATAAAGCGCTGTAGAAATAAAGCTGACTTGGAAATAAACTCTGATGTCTAGCGTGAAAAGCCCCTCAGCATCCGTCTCATCTCTCACCTTCATGTGACGTGTCTGCATTGGGCTCGAGCAGCGTGTCCAAAGCCCTGCTGTAGTCATCTAAGACCCAGTACGCCATGCTGCGTAAGAAAGGGTCCTGATGGGCCGCGATCTGCTGGTCCTGACCCAACACATGCCTCTGCAGGATTCGCTTGTAGCTGCAGGACATCTCGAACTCAGACTCATACAGCCGACAGACCACCAGAGCCAGCTGAAGGTCCTGCATCTTCTCTATACAAACCTGATCGAGCGAGTAAAATCAGACAGGTCTCATGAGAATCTCATCAACTGACCAAAATACGCTTTGACAAAAGAGACAGTAGGTTTCTGATGATTATACCTTCCTTCTATAAAAGTCACAATGGTCTTGATTCAGGAGATCATGACAGATGAAGGGTTCAGAGAAGAGACTAAACTACGGTGGCCGAGAAGTGCAAAGCAGATCACAATTCTGAAAACAAAATAACAATTCAGAAAACATTATAACAAGTCAGAAAACATTATAACAAGCAGATGCAAACGTACCTCAACAGCATCTTTCAGGGATCCAGCCAGCAGAAAGAAAGCCGCTGAATGTTGGAAACGTTGCTTTCCGAGCAGAGAGAAAGCGTTCTTCAGCGCTGCCTTCCTCCAGCGGTCTTCACTGAAGTTATTGCTGAAGAATGCTGTCATCTTCACGTTATGGTGGGACCTTCAACACACAGGAGCTCTCAGTGGACTGAAGCCTCGCTGACAGGTGAGGGTGTGAGGG